ACATGATTATAACACTCGTGCTATTAGAACGACACAACGAACGTTCACACTCGTTGTTGTAATCATGTTCATAAACACACTTGTACTGTAAATAACTATTATTTTGAATTATTCAATAATAAAAAAAACAAGATGTTGCGAATATTTTGAACCACCTTGTATAAACTCATCTCGTCTAATATAAATTATGACTTAATAAAGTAAATGATAAATATCATCTAATTTCAAAATGCATTACAATATTCAAATATTAGAAATTTACATAACTGGTAATTTGCAATATGAACTAATCATATGCCTAAATATTTTCATAGCATTAAAATACATATATGCTCACATATACTAATTATACATTCAGTTATAATTAGCATAATATTATTGACAATGCTATTACCTTTATGTACTTATATAATCATACAATATTATAAGGGATGTCCAACTTTAACCACACAAAAGCTAACAGTACTTAAATCTATAAGCTGATATAACTACTATCGATAGGTTATTATCACCTTAATATGACATTATTTATTATATTATCATCTTATAGAATATATTGCTGTTATTTTTGAGTGATTTCAATATGCCTGAATTTAGTGAAAATGATAGAGTTACATACATACACACATACTGTCATTACTCGCTGACGAGTATTCGATACATCAGAAGATGGTCACGCAAGGCGTTTTCTTTCATGAGCTTTTCTGTGACTGAAAAGCCCGATACGTGATGTTATCTGCCTACCGCACTCCGGACATTCAAAAATCTCATTGCTTTGTTGCCTCTTTACTTTTTGCTTGTCGCTGTTAACTGAGTTTACAATTCTTCTCCATTGAGTTCTATTGTTCGTGGAAAATGTTCTTGTACCTTTTCAGTTGTCCACCCGGACTCCTCTTACCGTCTACAAGCGCAGAGATTTTGGTATGCGGTTTTCTTGCAATCTGCATACGTGACCAGCCTTAAGCGGGGTTTTGTAACCATGACTTCAATACTCTAGCAGTTAACTTTTTCAAGGACCGATACGTTTGAGACATGATGGAACCACCGGATTCTTAAGAGTTATCTAAGGTGTCTCTTTTGCAACTTGTTTAATGCGTTCATGTATCGGCGGTACGACCGCGGCACCCAGGTTTCGCTCCCATATAACATGATGGGGATTATAATTGGTCGTTACACTGCAAGTTTCGTTTTTGCACTCAAGTCGTGATTGTAGAAAACCCTGCCTTTTAATTTCCAGAATGCTCTTGAGGCGCTGTTAATCCTGTGCTGAATTTCAGAGTCAATATTGGCCTTTTTCGAAATCAAACTGCCGAGGTAATTGAATTCCGCCACATATTCAAATAGTTCTTCTCCGATTTTTATAGCATTGTTGTGATCTTCCGGGGAAGTGCACATTATTTTGGTTTTGTCGATGTTTAGCTTAAAGCCCAAAGCCTCGTATGCCCAGGTAACATTTCTTGTAATTATTATAACGTGTTTGCAACTAGAGCGCAGTCAACAGCGTATTGAAGTTCTGTGATGAATTTTGTACGTGTTGTTGCCCTGAGTATTTTTATGTTCAACAGACCGCCGTCATATCTGTATCTAATGCCCAATCTTCTCTCTTGTAGTTTGCTGTCCACTATCATGGAGAGCGCTGCCATGAATATGTTGAATAGGAGAAGCGCTAAGACACATCCCTGCCTAACTCCTGTATTATTGATGTTTTAATAGTTTTTTAATTATATTGATGTTTTTTGTTTCTCTGATGAGGTACAAGTACCCTCGCTCCAGTAGCTACCCCCTCCCGAAGATCCGATTGAGGGGGTATTTTACCTCCGGACGATAATTTTGTCACACTCGAATGTTCCATCATTGCTGTGTGAAGCTGCGTCAAAAGGTTTCACTGTGGCGGTTACGCTGCCGCACCGTTTTAGCTGCAACTGTAGCACGGGATGGCTATGGCATAATGAGGACCGCGACGATAATTCCCTTTTTGGGGATTTTCCCCATAGTACTACGTTCTCGGCCGGCTAGATGTAGTTTACTACTCCTCTTCCCCAGAAAGATGGTAGGTCTGAGTGTTGTATAAGGTTATACCGCCTATACTCGGACGTCAGAGCTTCGTTTGTGTAAACAGAGTGCACTACATGAAGGTGAGGTTGACTTTTGGGTAAGCTAGGCTATGTGTATCGCTTCAATACCCCTTGCACCCAAATATTATCGCTTCAATACTTCTTGCTCCCCAACGATAGAATTACTACAAATAAACAGAATCTGTTAGATTTTCAGCCATTCTTTGGTTACACTCAATGTAATATTGATTTGTATTCAACTCTTCAAATCGTTTGTTGGACCTCGTATGTTGCAACATTGAATGCCAGGTCTTAAAAAATGATGCACCATAGATGGTATAATTTTGATTTAATCAAAAATCATGAAAAAAGTTATATTTACAGAAATAAAAACAAATTTATGATTTTTATTTGACAGAGTAGGAAAATTTCCGAAAGGTTATTAAAGTAAAAATCATAAGTAAGTAAAGTCATTTTGGTCTTATATTAAGTCTGAACGGAAACCTACAAAAACTCTAGGAAAGATGACTTTTGAAGTTGCAAGTTTTAGGTCTGCAGATGATATAATAAAAGCATTTGCCAATTATCTTAGCAGTGTTTTTAAGACACCTCATACAGATATCGGAGGTTCCCAATATGCCAATGCTCATTGGTCTCACTCATGGTCATTTTGGTCATAACACATATATATATATATATATATATATATATATATATATATATATATATATATATATATATATATATATATATATATATATATATATATATATATATATATATATATATATATATATATATATATATATATATTATATATATATATATATATATATATATATTTGGTATAACAAATAATCTTGAACTTTCGGATGTTGAAATTGCAATAAAGAACTTAAGCATAAGTTGAGTTCAGGACATGACAATGTTCCTGCATGTTTGATTAAAGATTGTATGAATCGCAAAATAAAACACTAAATCACCACAATACACCAAAACACTTTTACTTTTACGCTGGATGCGCGTTTCGCTAACTATGTTAGTATCATCAGCAGATGACTAATTGTATGAATGACTTATCACACATTGAAAGTAAACTTAATTTATCTCTGAAGTTTAATAATTTTTCTAACTTCTGGAAAACTGGAAAGGTTTGTCCTGTATTTAAATATGGCGATGGCCTCGTATATTAACAACTATAGACGTGTAGCTTTATTGTGTTATTTTGCCAAAGTGTTTGAAATAGTTTTATATAATAAAATTTATCCATTTGTAAAAAACTTTATATCACCCGGAGAGCACGGATTTGTTGGGGGCAGATCAACAGCAACTAATTTGGTTAATTTTACCCAATTTGTTTCTCGAGCTCTAGATTATCATTTAAGAGTAGATGTTAAGTGTATACTAAGACTTTTGATAGAATAAATCCGAACATTTTGACTAAAACGGTTGCATGTCTTGGTTTTCGTAGTAATCTCTATTACTTATATTGCTAATATTGGTGTACCCCAAGGGTCACATCTTGGACCATGCAGAAAGGAAGAATGCATTTTTCTCAAAATGTCAATAAAAAAGTTTTTCCTCTTGTAAAAACAACCCGGGACATATGTAGAAGATGTAAAAAATAAAAAGTGCGTGTTTAAATTTCAGTGGATAATACTACAGATAAAAATAGAAGGAACACCTTTTTATTTGTAATATCACTTTTTATTCCTAGTTGATTTGATTATGACTTTTTATTATTTTCTAACATAGGTAATATTACCATAACGTGGTAGATTACCGTCCTTATGTTACGGTTAGATTGTTCCCATTATCGAAATAAGATATTTGATTACCTCTGACAAAGGAAAATACACTTCGAAACATCGGCAATTTAAAAAAAATGTTGTTTAATTTATGGTCCTAAAACTGCTAACGCCATTTCATAGGTAATATTTTTAATTAGTAGCCTCCAGAGAATTTGGACGGGAATTTATAAACTTGGTTTGATTCAGTTTGGGTTGGTTTGGGTTGGTACTCTTTAGCTAATTTGGTGGTTCTAGTACCAAAATGTTTGCAGTCTGTTTGAAGGCTCAACATTATCTGATTCATCGCTACTAGAAAAGGTAGATAGTGGCTTCGAAATGAAGATTGCTGTCATTTCGTATGTAAAATTATATGGGGAATGTTATCGATCATAATTTCCAAGCCAACTGAACTTCTGTTTTTTGATCATACAGTATACATAAAGTGCTTCAAGACAGACAGTGCTTCACAATCACATACAGTGACTATGACAACAATTTGCATAGACAAATAGAATCAAAATAAAAAAAATATATAACTTGCCATTTAATTAACTTATAGCAACTAATTAACTAGGCTCAGGTGTGTGTCTGATGACAACATCGCTACATTTTTTTAATTATAAGTCTTAAAACACTGTTTTGTTGAAAATCGGCCAATTAACCCCAGGTCTAAATATACAGGGTGAGTCTTAAATAAGTGCAAATATTTTCAGGGCTGGTAGATCTCTATAAAAGAAACATATTTACTCTTTACCATTTTTCAGATAAGTCCAAAATAAGCAAGTTATTTAAGTTTGAAAATTAAAAAAAATTATTTTTTTTTAAATTTTGAGGGCCACCAAATTTTTTTCTGTATTTGCATCCATTTTAGTGTCGTAACCATGTATTAAAGCCGTAACTGTGGTAATATCAGAGATTAAGGAATTATACCATGGGAAAATTTGCGGTGAACAGGCAGTTTTAAAAAGTTTTCAAGAAATATACAGGGAAATTTAAAAGAAAATGCACGATTTTCAATTTTTTTTGCGAAAAAAACCTCATAGACGTGTTCCTGGGGTCGAAATATACCACCCCTGAAAATATTTGCACTTATTTAAGACTCACCCTGTATATACATAGTTCCACTTTATAAAAATAAAGTTTATTATTGTTTCAGATAATTCAAATCGAAACCATCACTTCAACGGCATCTCATCGAACAGTATATCGGACGTCTCTCAGAGTCCTCTCATAACAAACACCGAGTGTTCAAACTACATCAAAAAACAAATAATGCAAGCGGAGATCTTCCATGGCACGCCACTGAACAACGAATACGAACTGATACCCTTCAATCATTTCACCTACAGCAGAGTTTATCCTTCGGATTTGGGATTGGGCAAAAGGGTGGTAGAAAAACCGATAGGATACAAGCGTAAAGATATTTTAGAGGCTCTGATGAAAGGGCTGGAAACTCTGAATAAAAACATTACTGAAAAAATCAGGAGGTACACTCTGGACGATTTTTTGGAGGGATTGTACAGGATCGAACCGACGACTGGAACACAGTTCGAACTATATTTTAAAACTAAGCTGGTGAATAAGACAGTGGTGGAACACGGAATTAATTTAAACGGCTTTACCAAGATCGTTGTAATGAGACCTTTTGCACCATTGCAGACTATATCAACTAAGTTCTTACCAGGTAAATAATACTTATTATAGATATAATGTCTTTGTGGCCGGTTTATTTCTCGAAAGAATTCTGTTTTTTGACACTAGAAGAAAACCTACAAAATAAAAAGGTTTTTTGTAAACAACACTAATTTTTTATTTTAACAGAAAGTTAAAGGTTTCTAATAGATGTATCTGTTAAAAAAACTAATGTGTTCTTGAATAGTTGTTTTTATATATTTTCTTTTTCTTTTTTTAAGAGAACCCTTGAAATGTTAAAAACCTCCTGAAATGTTAAGCTTTTTTTGTCGGTTTTCGGACAAATTGGTTTCCGTATTGAATCAAACATGGTGTTTACCAAAAATAACTATTCGGTATATTTTGTAGATTTTCTTTTCAAAATACACTTATTATTAGTTATTATAGTATACCTCTATTACATTTAATACAATTCAAGGTCTAAATAAATAAATGTCAAAAAATTCAGACAGTGATTGATTATTTATTTTTATAATACATATTTTCTAAAAAAATATTATTAACAGTCTAAACAGAGAATATCATACAGGGTCCGGAAATAGTGCGTCGGACATTTGTAGCCCTAGAATAAAAAAACTTCGGAATTTTGTATAAGTGCCAACCTAAAGTATGTGTTAGGATGTATCTCAGGAAAATATTTTAACTTCTACAGGGTGGCTCAAAAAAATGTCAGTGAATCAGGATAATTTTTTTAAATGAACACCCTGTATTTTATTATTATTGCATTTTTGGCTTTTTTTAGATAAGTTACGTAAGATCACTTTACGTAATTTTCAGTTTTTTTTTCATATCACTTTACGTAATCCTCAGATATGAGTAAATATATTTGGATAGTTTCAGAGATATTAATAAAAAAATAAAAAATATATATTTTCACCCTTTATTAAAAAAATTATCAAAAGTACAAAAATTGTTCGAAAATCAAAACGCTACTAGGGATTTACTTTAGATGGTCCCTTCTTATTTTGCTATAATTATGGTAATCGTAAACTATACAGGATGTTCAAAATTCTACGCCAAACTTTCTAAAATATAAAATATTAATAATAATATAAAACATTAATAATATGTACCCTGTGTACTATTTTTCAATAGATGGAGAATTAAAAAATGAACATTTTTTGTATTTTTAGAGTATTTTAAAAATTCTAACGGTTTCGCAGATTCGTGGTTTTTATATTTCATATGCCATTTTCCACGGTAAATTTTTATCAAAGCCACCCATTGATTTTTCTCTTGTATTTTGCCTAAAAAACAAATTAAATACAGGAAGCAAAAAAAAACACAGAAAAATTATTTTATATTTTATAAAGTTTGGCGTACAGAATATATGATTTAAGATTACGATTTATAGCAAAGTAATTATAGACAATCTAAAGTAAATACCTAATATAGTTTTGATTTTAGGACAGTTCTTGTATTTGTAATAACTTTTTTAAGGAAGGCTGAAAAATATACAGGGTTGTTCACCACATACGACACGGAGTATTGTAGCTAAACGATTAGATTTTTACAAATTGTAAGTTTTGGGTTCGTTGAAGGACTATTAGAGCTACAATTTAAAAATATTTTTACAAGATACAGAGTGTCCCAAATAAATAAAAATTATCAAAGTTGTATTTTCTTAAATGGAACACCCTGTATATTATTGCATTTTTAGTTTCTACGATTAAAATAAAGGTAAATTTGATTAAGGTTTATTACACTTAAACCTTACCGTTTTTGAAATATTTTCAAATTTGCGAAATTGCAGTATAAATTTTAAGGCTTCATTTCTCCGAGGATATCAAAGTTTTTAATACTAAATATTTACTGAAGATTATTTATTGATCAGTTATTGTGTTGCAATAATAAAAATTATACTACCTTATACAGAGTGTCTAAAATTTATTTTAAATAATTACTAGCTTTAAACGGCAATAACTTATTTACTTTAAATAGAACACCCTGTATATTTTATGAGAATCAGATGCACAATTTAACGGTCTATCAAATTGTATTATACCACTTCTTACCTATTCCTTCAAGTTTTCGTAGAAAATGCATTTTCTTATAATTTAGACCTCATTTATCAATATACCCATGGAATATTGACAGTTTAGATTGTTTTCAAAACAACAAATGTACAAAATGTACAGGCTAGTAATATTATCGTTTTTAGTAAAACGATAATATTACTAGGCCATTTGTATGCAAAAAGAAAACTATTTAAATCTTTATAAAAGAGTATACCATTAATTAAATAAACCATCAGTATTTCCGCCCAAATACTAATTAACTACATACTTAATTGTATTCGTTAATAAATTATTCTAAATAAATGTGGATTTGAATCAGAAATCAATATAATAATAAGTTATGAAAATGAACGTATCTGTTGTTATAAATAAGCATTTGTCAAAAAATCAAATATCATTTTTAAGGTGTTACTTTTTACCACACTGTCTAATACACATACATAATTCAGCTTTTTAGTATTTGAAGCAATTATTATTAATCAACGCAAAAAGTCAATTAATGTAGTTTCAATACTGGAATCATATTTTGGTCTTCTTTAACAAATATTTAAACAGTTTTTTTTTATTTTTTAATGAACTAAACGAACTATATCGACAATATTAGTATCTGTACTCTTTAAAAATTTGGTACATCTTTAAAAATAATCTAAAAGTATTCCATGGGTATATTGATAAATGAGTTCTAAATTACAAGAAAATTCATTTTCTACGGAAACTTGAAAAGATAGGTAAAAAACGGTATAATACAATTTGATAGACAATTAAATTGTGCATCTGATTCTCATAAAACATACAGGGTGTTCCATTTAAATCAAACAAGTTATTGCCGTTTAAAGCTAGTAATTATTTAAAATAAATTTTTAGACACTCTGTATAAGGTAGTAAAGTTTTTATTATTGCAACACAATAACTGATCAATAAATAAACTTCAGTAAATATTTACTATTAAAAACTTTGATACCCTCGGAAAAATGAAGTCTTAAAATGTATACTGCAATTTTACAAAATTGAAAATATTTCAAAAACGGTAAGGTTTAAGTGTAATAAACCTTAATCAAATTTACCTTTATTTTAATCGTAGAAACTAAAAATGTAATAATATATAGGGTGTTCCATTTAAAATAATACAACTTTAATATTTTTTATTTATTTGGGACACTCTGTATCTTGTAAAAATAATTTTAAATTGTAGCTCTAATAGTCCTTCAACGAACCCAAAACTTACAATTTGTAAAAATGTAGTCGTTTAGCTACAATACTCCGTGTCGTATGTGGTGAACAACCCTGTATATTTTTTATTAATTTATTAATATCTCTGAAATATACTTACTCATACCTTAGGAATATGTAAAGCGACCTGAAAGGAAGTCAAAAATGCAATAATATACAGGGGTTGCATTTAAAAAAACCATCTTGAACCACTCACATATTTTTGAGCCACCCTATAGAAGTTAAAATATTTTCCTGAAATACATCCTCGTACATACTTTAGGCTTGCATTTTAAATAAATTCTCAGGTTTTTTTTATTCTGGGAGCTACATAGACGCAATAGTGCGTCGGGCACACTATTGCCGTACCCTGTATATAACTTTTAAAAATGTTGATTTTAATATGTTCATTTAAAAATTTAGAACCATGTATTTTCCTACAAGAATATTTTGAAATAATACACTTATTTAATTCTAAATACGTTTAGAAACGGAAAGTTTAAAATTTAACCCAGAATTAAAATATAGCTCTATCCCAACTTAATAATTCTTCAGGAACACACAATTCTATATGCAAGCAACAAATCTGACTTATTAATACAATGTAACGAAAAACAATGCAAATGACAAAAACTGTGCGTCCAAATATTTCATATTTAATTTACTTCTTTAATTTTCTTCTAGCAACGTTACTACTCAAAGCTATAATATAATATTCTTGCTTCTTGTTGCCTTTACTATTATGTTTTTAATAAGGCTTAAAAATTTAATGTATTTAATTTATTATTATTATTTTCTCTTGCGTCTTTTACTCTCATAAGTGAGAATGAGTCAAAACAGTTATGGAACCAAAATCTAAAATACTTTGAAACTAATATTAAATTTGTGTTGATATAAAAATATCATCCTTAAATTATTGTTAAGCAACAGCTATAAATCCAGTGTATTTTTCAATTTTAGGACCCAAAGACAAAGAACTGATACATATTATATTGCCACTAAGTGGTAGAACTGCAACTTTTCAAAATTTTATGGACAAATTTGTAAAAATTGGACTAAAGAATGACAGGAGAGTTCATTTGACTGTGGTATATTTTGGCGAGGAAGGATTGTCTGAAGCTAGAAGTATAATGTCTAGAGTTCTGATGACAAAAAATTCAGGAGGAAATGCCAATAATTTAAGGCTACTAGCGTTAAATGAAACATTTTCAAGGTAAGTTTTTTAATATATTTTTTTATTATTAAATCTAGTGTACTAGGTATTACTTTTCTGTGTATTTGGTAAAATTGGGCGTTGATTCTTCCTTTTTAAAATCTTCTCAATTTTTTTCTCCCAAATGTAATATAAAACTCATGAGTACCATAAGTTTATTACGTATCTCTCACCATACAGCATTTTACAATAAAAATACGGATAGGATTAGAATAAAAAATGCTCATACATCTGTGGCAGATTCACCTCTTCAAAAAAGTTATATGTGTATTTCGCTTGCACTCTAAGAAAATCTACAGAAACTACTCAAAACAATTATCGCATATTTTCTAAAAAAAATATTAATTTGCAAAAAAAAATCATTTTGAATTCCCTGACTTACAATTTTAAATAGTATACTGTTTTACAAATACTGTAAAGGGAAATTTGATACAATAAGCCTATGCGCTAACCTGTAATTTTTAGTCGGCCGAATATTTAGTTGCAAAAGTGAAAACAATACATACTTATGAAGTCGATCGGCCGACTATTTGGTTGCATGTGAGCACGGCTCCATAAAGATATACAAATATTGGGCCGATTGGCTCCATATGAATGTATTGTTTTCACTTTTGCAACTAAATAGTCGGCCGACTAAAAATTACATGTCAGTGTAATCGTCCCCTAATTATCCTAAGAAAACTCAGATGAGAAAGAAAGGCAGAAAAATGCATGCTTCAGTTAGAAATATGTAATAATTATTTTTATTCAAATATGCATGCGATAATTGTTTTGAGTAGTGTGGTATTTTTAGTATTTTTGAGTATTGTATTACACTTCTGCGTTAATACAACGGAGACCAACTTATCAGCAGTGATTTACTAATAAACAAGTATGCCTAAGGAACAGAAAATACTGAACGTTTCTGGAACTATGTCTTCCTGTCGTTTCTAGTGTTCTGGAATAGTTGTATTTATATTTTTTAAATAGTCTATTACTTGTTTTTTTTTATGTTTTTTTTTGCTTCTGATGGCGGAATATCACATCTGCTTTGCTTTATTCGTTCTGTCTAGATATTACTATCATTATTTGTAAAACATGTCTTAATTATATTATCAACAGGGTGTGTTAAACTTGGTGTCTTCGAATAATAGTAGAAAAATGGTAAATTAAAATACAACATTAATTGCCAAATTTATACTGACTAAGGTTTATATACCACCTTCAAAATTTTGAATGATGACAAATGCAACACCAATAGAACTTTTTCTTCCATAATCAAAAAGATTATTTTTAAAACATCTGCTTTTTAAAACTAAACGTTCTCCATCTTTTTAAAACTAAATATGACCCATCTGCTTTTTAACATACAGGGTGGTCCGAACTGTATTCTGGAAACTTCGGCAGCATATTCTGCATATAAATATAAGAAAAAAAGTTCGTATAAATGTATGTTCTAAATTGCTTAATTTCGGAGATACAGGGTGTAGAAGTTTCATTTTTGTTTCGATTTTTTACAAATAATTTCTGAAGTAACATCAATATTTGGATAAAAATTGGTGTCTGGAAGAAATGTTCTGACAGGAAAAATTTGATTTTGATGTCAATATGACTCTTATTTATAGGGGGCGTCACCTACATGTGTTTTAACTGTTTTGAAGAGTAATAACTTTTCGTCCGTACCTGTATAAAACTACTGAGTGAAAAAATATACATTTCCGTGATTTTTTCCGTAAAAAAAGTCTCTTGTTAAAAATCGCTACCGACTGGAATAATACATCTCATTATTGACAAAAAAATAGGTGTCATGTTAAGTATGTAGATAGTTATTTGACTGAAATGATAAATTTGGGAACTTTTTATCTTTTTTAATTTATCATAAATTTTTCTTCGAAAAAAGGATGATAAAACAGTTTCTACTAAATTTTTGACACCAAATCATTTAAAATTTATGATTTCAGTCTAATAACTATTTAATCAACATGTTTAATTTATGTCAATGATGACAGGTATTGATAATTTCGATCCCAAATATCTCGGAAACCATTACTCGTAGCGATTTTTATTAAGAGACATTTTTTATGTAAAAAACGTCATAAAGGTATATTTTTATACAGGTACGGACGAAAAGTTATTACTCTTCAAAACAGTTAAAAAATAAGTAATTTCTAGATAGGATGGCTTCTAGATAGGATGGCTCAAAAAAGTATGAGTGGATCGGCATGATTTTTTTGAATAATTGCCTTTTTAGATTCTTTTCAGATAACTTTGCATAATTTTAAGATATGAGTATCTATGATATTTTTCGCTAGTTTCAGAGATATTACTAAATAAACAAAAATTATATATTTTTAGCCTTTCTTAAAAAAATTATTAAAAATACAAAAACTGTCCTGAAAACCAGATCTATATTAGATATTTACTTTAAATGGTCTGTACTTACTTTGCTATAAAGATGGTAATCATATATCATACAAGATGTTCAAAATCTTACGCCTAACTTTCTAAAATATAAAATAATTTTTTCTTCGTTTTTTTTTAAATGGAACACCCTGTATATTATTTTTTCAATAGATGGAGAATTGAAAAATGATCATTTTTTGGATTTAGAGTATTTCAAAATTTTTAAGGGTTTCGCAGATATTCGCAGTTTTATTTTTCATATGGCATTTTCCATAGTAAATTTTTATCAAAGCCACCCAATGATTTCTATCTCGTATTTTACCGTTGAGAAAGTCATATGAAATAATATTGCGTGTATCTGCGAAACCATTAAAAATTTTGAAATACTATAAATACAAAATATGTTTATTTTTTAATTCTCCATCTAATAAAAAATAATATACTGGCAGGGTGTTCCATTTAAAAAAAAAATAATCCCTATCCACTCACACTTTTTTGAGCCACCCCATAGAAGTTAAAATATTTTCCTGAAATACATCCTTGTACATAATTTAGGTTTACACCTCGGTTTACACTTAAGCAAAATTCCCAAGTTTTTTATTCTAGGAGCTACGGATGCCCGAGGCACTATTGCCGGACCCTGTAGACCTCGGCAAGAGGGAGATTTTTTATTTTTTTTTAATCTTTTCACATATGTATATGAATTAATATATTTTAATATAATCTCTGAATCAGTAATTAGGTAGGTACCAACCTTTTTGGAATCAATAACTGGAGAATCAATAACTAGGTACCAACCTGTTGGTACCAACCTGTTGGAGAGAGACCAACTTCTTGGAATATATGTGCATCGGGGCAAAAAAGCAAGCGAGATTAATTGTTACAAACTGAATAGGGATTTTAAAAATATCTCTAAAAAAATATTTCATTTTAAGAAAAATAGTGCCATTCTATTTCTTCATCAAAAATATTCAATCATCTCAAATTTTAGAAAATATTTTTTTATAAAAAAATGCCTCTCAATGACAAAACGTGTACCAAATTATATAAGTATCTGGAGTGAGTCCCAAGATTTATGACAAAACAATTTTTTTCTTAAAATTTTGACACTGTATCTCGAAAACAAAGCATATTTCAACACATCAACACAATATCGGATACTAATTCAGAAACACCCTATATACAGTGATAAGGCTAAAAAGATAAAAGGGAGATTTTATCAAATGGATAAATGAAGAGTTTACTACCCTTTTTACTAATAGTCTAAGAGCTAGCAACGTTTTCGAGAAATTATTTAAAAAAAACAGGCTCTTTGATATATGTTTTACTATACTCTCTGGAACAGCAAACGGCCCATCTGGCTGCCGATACCTGTTTCATTCACTATTGCTGCGCAACGAAAGAAGATCTTATATTTTATTTTTATTTAGTCCGTTAAATTCTAGCATTGAATATAAATCTAACAAGTCTCCATAGCACAGCGCGTAGAGTTTCCGACTAAGAACCGAAGATTCAGAGTTCGAGACAGGGTCAGGGCAGAAGCTTTTTTTATTTTATTTTCGTTTTTATTCTGATAGTAAAGTATTAAATATTTGTTTTGTCCACGACCGCTTAATAATAAATCAATATTCTACTTCCTAGTTGAAGGAATATGGTGCCCATATTTGTAATAGAGTGAGATATAACAGCTGATAACAGTGAAATATGATAAATCACACTTTGCATTTACTCTACTTGTTGCTATGCCAACGTGACTCAGAACATTCCGATGCGCGGCGTAAATGATTTGACGTTTTTCTTATCTTTTCTTTTTATTAATTTTGACGTTTAAATTTATCAAATGTTAAGTAGGTAGTGATTATTAAGTCGCATATCAAGAACTCGTTTAAAATCAAAAAATGAATTATGAGAGTGATAATGAGCCCTGTACACCACCAGAGATAGCCAAAGCCAAAGAGGCGGCCAAATTAATAAGTCTTGGATTGCTACCACAAAAGTCTAAAGATCATTACATGTCTGCCTATAAAAACTTTCTAGACTGGAGGATTGCTAAAGGCATAAATTCGTTTTCCGAATCCGTGTTATTAGTATATTTAGTTGCCATTGTAACGGAACAAAAATAAATCTTCTGATTGACTAAAGAATGTTGGTACGATATTTTCATGCAAAGAACTTGAAATAATATCAATGAAATTCAAATACATATATAACTTTAAATAAAACACAAATTACCAACTTTAGTTACACAAAACAACAAAAAGTCAGATGCTGGTACTCCAAATTATCGTTCTCCAACAACTGTACTCAACTAAAGTTGGTAGAAGTATGTTTTCTTCTTCTTCTTCTTCTTCTTCTTCTGTGGAAAGGATCAGTGACTCTGGAAACAAGAAGTATGTTTTATTGCAATAAACTTGAAGCAGCATCTATAAAATTCAAATACATATATAACGATAAATAAAACACAAATCACCAACTTTAGTTACACAAAACAACAAAATGTCAGCTGCTGGTGGTACGATCTATCATTTTTCAACAAATTTATTTTACTAAAGGGGGTAGAAAAAAGTACTAATATACAGGTATGCCGTAACACACATCCAATAATAAACTTCTAAAATATTTGAAAATAAAATAGTTCGAGATGACTGCGACTCTCGATGCATAGCAACTGATGATATTGATGTTTTTATTATCTTTTAGTCAATTTTGGCGTTTGAAATTGCCAAATTTTAGGTAGGTAGTGATCCCCTAAAACATGAATACAATAATTAATAGTAAGATTAACATTAAAAATACTAATTCAAACACTCCTTATAATTATTATAATGGCCGTGGGCAAAGTATAGTATTCAACTCGCAATTTATAGCCATTATTCACTCGGGTGACTTGCCCCTCGCCTAGGGCTTGTGACGTAAACGTCACCCTACGTGAATAATGGCTAGCATAAATTGCTCGTTCAATAATATACTATTTTTTTTGACTCACCAGAATTATTTAATACTTTACTATCAGAATATAAACGAAAATAAAATAAAAAAGTTTTTGCCCTGACCCGGTCTCGAACTCTAACTCCTCACTTGATAGGCGGAACATCTACGCGCTGAGTTATGGAGACTCGGTCGGTTTATATTCAATACTAGATTTTAAAGGGCTAATAAAAATATAGGATCTTTTTTCAATGGGCAGTAGGGAACGCAACGTTTACCGGCAGCCAGACAGGCCGCATGCTGTTCCATAGAGCATAGTAAACGATATAAAGGCCAGCTTTCTTAAAATACTTGTTTTCTCGACGTTGCTAGCTCTCGTACTATAAGAGAAGTTACTATAAAACTTTTTTAATGATGTGTTAACGTTTTCATTTATTTTCAGAGGAAAAGGTCTACGTGTAGGTGCGGAGAGAGCGCTAGATTATAGTACGGTTCGTACGACGCAAAATGCTCAGAAAATAATTCCAATATCGAATCAGAACCAAAAAAGTTCAAAAAAAGACGTACTGCTCTTTATGTGTGACGTCGACATAGTATTTAGTGCGCGGTATGTCAACCTTTCCTTATTAAAATTGTAAATTTCTTATAACGACTTTTTTACAGATTTCTAGATAGGTGTCGATGGAACACTAAACCTGGTAAAAAGGTTTATTATCCTGTAGTGTTTAGTTTGTATAATCCGCACGTTGTATATACTTTGCAAGGCAAAGAGGTGCCACCCGAAAACGAGCAGTTAGTGATATCACGTGATACGGGATTCTGGAGAGACTTTGGATACGGAATGACGTGTCAATATAGGTAAAATAAATCTATATTGAGATATTTGCTTTTGAAGAAGACACTAACATTTTCAAAGACTTGTTAATTTTGTTGATGACTAAAAGCAATACACCTCAAATTGTATATTCGACGATCTATTTATTGTCCGGCGTTACGGACATTTTATAATAAAATATCTTTAATTTATTTTTATCTCTTTCACAGATCCGACTTTCTGAAGGTGAAAGGGTTTGATGAAGATATAGTTGGATGGGGAGGGGAAGACGTGATGTTGTACAGAAAATACGTCACCAGTAACGTCAAAGTTATACGAGCAACCGATCCTGGCATTTTCCACATATGGCATCCAAAGGTAGATAGATTTAATACGTTAGTTCTTTAAGCATCTTTAAGGTACGACTTTTATGCATCGCTATATTTTAATAATGCATTAATACCATTTATATTTATCATAAATTATGTTCCGTAAAGAAAGAGATAGCGAAAGGGATATTGTCAGCGAAGGGATATTGCGACAATAAAAAATTGTGTGTGCACTATGTGTGCATATTTCCATTCGGATATTTCTATCCACGTACCGAGTTTGGTTCCAATCAACACATAATTAAGAAAAATTCACAGTCCTTTACAAAGATGCAACCGGGGGGGCATTGAAAATGATGAATAAAAACGTAAAAATATGATTAGTGTTAATATGAGTGTATTACATACATATGTTTAAATAACGAACTTAACAAAAAACAACAGATTTAAAGATTCACTGAAAAAGTAGTAATGTTAACATTAAATGCCGGCGCCGGCGCCGTATCCAACTTTGCAGGGTGCGACCGTGTGCACCGTCGCGTCGCTCACATAGCCTATCCACCAAATTTGGTCGAGATCGGACATCAACTTTTGACGTTTCTTACGTCAAAACTAACTATTATAGTGACACGTGTCGTACACGGTCAAGTTGGCCTTGGTCCAATCTATCGACATATCAAAATTCATTTAAATCGGACGACTTTTTGACTTGATTTATTGATGATGGGGTTTCGTAGTGCACAAAACGTCTTCAACATATAATTTCATATCACATTCCGAGTTTCAGCCTACTAGCTTACATAGAGCCCGAGTTATGCCGCTCCAAAGACCTATCTCAACTTCCAACAAAGTATAACTTGTTAAGGCTGTGTTGTGTCACGGCCTTGAATTTTTGCTCCCATCGCGCGTAAATAAGTTTAACTTCAAAAAAGGATTATACAGGGTCTGCCAAAAGTTTACAACAAAAGACAAAAAATATTATTGGCTTGTGCATAAAAATTTATAAATAGGACTAATATCTATACTAATCTATACTAATATATAAAATCCTTAAGTGACTGATATACTGATTAATCATGATCATGCTCAAACCACTCAACGTAAGAAACTCAATTTTGGCATACAGGTTGATTCTAGGGTGTAGAGGTTCGATAAGAAGGGATTTTTTCACAAACCAAACCAAACCACCCCTCAAATATTACAATATTTTAGTATTGAAAATACTTCTGGCCGCGTTTATATGGGACCCATCTTTGAAAAAACGACATGCTAGAAGCAACATGGGTTCAATAACCTGCCTGTCAACACGTACTTAAGTTGATAGAATTGATGAGAGAAATGGGCAAGGTCGAGTCTGGACCGGCGGATAAAGAAAGCGATATTATTTTAAAAGAAAATATGTCAAGGCATGGGTTGTTAGGCACAGTTTGGCTATTTTAATCTAACTTATATTTCTATTGAGCTCTTCCAAATGACGTCACAAATTAATATAAAATGTAAAAAAAAACAGGTGATGCCGACAACCGCCGACTTGTGTCTGGTATTTTCAATACGCCTATGATGGTTGCGCATGTTGCAAAATCTGTGAATTTTTTAATTATCAACTTAGAACAAAGAAAAAGCTTGCATGGTTTCCACCGCCAACAGGCGTTAAAACAAATGAATCCAAGGCGTTGTCAAATATTTATTGGGATAAGTTGAAGTTTTCACCGTTTGAATATTGTTGTAGATAATAATTATTATCATTTAATTAGTGCTAACTTATCAAAATTCAAAACACGGCCAAATTTCAACAAAATCGGCCAACGGATCTTTGAAATATTAATAAAAAAATGTCTATTAGGACTTGACACCCTGTATCTTTAAAATTATGCATTTCCGGACACATGTTTATATTAACTTTTTACCTTAAAAACACAAAGAATCACCTTCTGAAGTTGGGCAGATACTTAATTAGCAGCCTATATTTAAAAATGGCTAGCTAGCGATTTTATAAGTAAAGCTATGTTTATTTTAACACGAAGCGCCAGACAAAATGTTTAAAAAATGCTCTCTGGGCCAAGTTATAATTTTGTCATATACTTTCAACATTTGAAATTCAAAAAAATCTAGTTTTTTTTCAAATCAACAAGTTCGCATAGGTATACATGCCGCGCAAGCCAGAGAGGTCCGCCCATCACACTCAAACAGGTTTAAATAAGGACCGCTGGCTTGTGAAACAAATAATTCGAACCGAATACCGAGCGGTCCCTGGGGCCCACCATGGCGCTTAACGTGTTAATAGAAAAAAAATACATTTCATAAAAAATAAACAAATCCATAATTCAATTACTATACACTAATTAATTAATTTTAAATGTATCTAAATAGGCACTTTAATTATTGAAAAATGGACATGAGCACTTCATAGAGTATACCAAATATGTAAAAAAATTCCAATAAAAAAACCACAAATGGCACATTAAAATCTGCATTTTCTGAAATCAAACTATAGGTACCTAAACGGCCAATCAGTTAAACAACAGTCACAAGACGCCGACATCGATAACGCGATGAGCAGTTTTTAATAATTATTCCGAGTTAATACTTAAAGTAGCATTCCTTCAAATAAATTTTAATTTAAGTATTGTTAATACATATAGTCATATTAATGATTATAGCCTGTATGATTTCTAAAATAAAAAATCCACCGTGTTTTTATCAGAATAATTATTAAATGATTAACTAGAAATAGTTAATATTTATTAACTTCTTAAGCGTTATTTTTTAATATAATTATGGATTTAATAATTAAATAATTATCTTAAGTTTAAATTGTGGTAAACTTGTTATGAATTTCAATCATTTATATTTAAAATCTTAAGGAAGGCAATATAGATTTTAGGCAGAAGAACTCAAGGGAAGGACTGTGTAATTAGTAATTAAAATTTTACATTTTTTTACTTGCCATTTTTCTTGTCTTTCACGTTGCACGTTCACTCTTCGTTGTGTCACACTCAATCTGAATTTCGGATATGATGCAGAACTGATAAATTAGACCAAATATATTATTTGCAAGGTATGCAAAGAAGTATTTTTGTTAACTTTGGAAATACTTAAGGCATGCAATAATTTAAAAAAAATTGACGTGAAATTACTTCATAATTCTTGAAAGTCTTGGATGGTAAAGATTTGAATTATTATGGGTCTGTTTTGTTTAAGAAGCTAACAAATAATTTCAAAAACTCAACTATCAAAATATAATGGTAGGAAATGTTTAAAAGCATGTATAGGTATAATATTCCATATTAATTGGACATACTGAATGTAAACTAGGAATACATAGTTGCTGCAGTCGACAATATATTTTGCTGCTTATTTTCCTCATAACAAAAAACCGTCAATACCGCTACTCACATTATGGGCAACTTTTATACTTAAATCTCTTTGATGATGATCTAAATGATGTTTAAAAATACATAAGTAGGTACAGCTGGTTCCAATAAAATTGAATACGATTTCAAACATGTTTTTATTATTTCGGCCAGTATATTATGATACGAGTACCCCATTTCTCTACTCATGTCATGCTGACATTCTGAAAAAAATTATTTGCCACTATGTCAAAAGCAAAGTTATTATATTCAATGTCACAATAACCTTAACATGACAAAATACTGACACATAAATATACACTGCTCAAATATTCGAAAAAAATGTGTAAAGAGTCGTATTCATTTTTTTTTTGGAACCAGCTGTACATACTATAAGTAGTGGTTGTCACGGTTTTTTATTAGGTATGATGAAAAGAAGCTGTGCAAACTAAATTATCGTCGGAGTCAACTATATTTTAATTTATTTTTATCCACAGTAACTATGCACGGTAAGGGTTCAAAATATGCCTATACTGTGAGGCAACTCCATTCGAGTATAAATTAACATTTACATTCCAAATATCTTCTTGGTCTACCGGCACCCCGTTCATTTTTATTCCATAATTTCTATAAAAAAATAGTATGATTTATAACTTTTAATTTTTATTGAGAAAATTGGTGAAATTTTCTTGTACGGCGAATTTAAATTTATGGGCCCTCCATAAATTTACACTGTAAGTTCGAATATTAGTTAAACCTAGGAATACCCAGGTAATACGCAAAAGAAGGGGTGAGTTTAGGTTAGATTAGAATTAGGTTTTAGTTGGTTTTGAATTAATAAAAATATAGACCAAATCTAAACTTAACCGAAACTGACCCACTTTTTGGTATATTTCGGGCTCCTACGTGGGCAACTCTACGTTTAACCAATATTCGGGCTTTTACGGTAACATAATACTCATTCTGATTGGTTTAATATGGCTCCATAACAAAACTGTGAGTTCGAAGTGCTATTGCAAATTAATGCAATTAATTCTATATATACACTTTCATAAAAAGCCATCACGATAAAAATTAAATATCAAAATTATTTAACGTTGCGAACGGTTCACTTGTTCACTATACGTATCTGGAATATATTTGCGAATGGCGATCAGCCATACGATGGTGCGTCCAAACCTGGGGAAACAAGCGCCGAGACATTCCAAATTCGCTCTGTGGACGAGTCTCGCGAGAACGAGCGCAGCGTCGCGAGTCAATCTACGGAGCCTCGTTGCTATCCGTCCCCTGGTTTTCCAACGGCCGAGATCAAAGAAAGCTCGAAAGTCTGGACGTGTTTTTGGTAGTCCCGCCCGACTGCGAGATATTAGCTCTGATTTATAAATTTCGACCATTTAAAATTAAGTAATCTCAAATTTTTAAATCGTACACCGTATGTATTATCATTTTTCTGATAGAATTTACAAATTTTATGTCACTGATAATTTTACCCTACCAAAATCCAACATTTCTTTAAACAAATTGAATTATTACAACATCTATTAATTTTAGATATATAATATCAAAAAATGGCAAGAAAAGTTACCGAATTGTACGTATGTATAACCCAATAATAAAATAAAAAATAGGGTATTCCCATTAGAAAATATGTTATATCCGCAACACTTTTTTGAATTATCCTGTATACTCTATAGTA